AGCCCCCAAAAGAAAATTCCTGGATCCACCACTGGTTGGCACCTTGCGATTAAGTTGTCAATATCCAACATATCACATTATTTTAGATGCCATTCTTGAAATAAATCTATAAAAAAAATCATTTGCCTCATATAATCCTAGGATCACATTTTTTTTAACTAATCCAAAGTCCAAACTTAACTTATTATATTTCCCATTAATCCTATAATAATACCCACCATTTTCAGTATTAGCTTAAGGCATGCCTCAAATTAAAAGAAATACAATCCTTATGACAGTGGGCAATTTACATATTAATATACATTTGCATTTACAATTCCTTTTTTTCCCAATTCACACTGTGCATCACTACATACTCTTTTAAGACTATAACCCTCATAAAGGATACATCACAACCATGCTATACTTAGTATATTCTCCATCTTGCATTTTGTATCTCATGTTCCTTTTTACAGTTGCGCCTCAATCTCACAGTGATTTTTTTTTTTTTATTTATTAGGGACACCTGGATGTTGAATTAAATGAGGTTGGGAGACAGCAAGCAGCTGCAGTAAGTTATATCTTACTTATTTTCTACAAATATACCTTTTTCCCTGTTGAATCTTGACATGCTCTGCTTACATTGAAGGTTGCTGATCGACTGTCTAAGGAATATAAAATTTCTGCTATTTATTCCTCTGATTTGAAGCGAGCACTTGAAACTGCACAAATTATAGCAGGCAAATGTGGTTCTGTCGAGGTATGAATCATTAAGACACTTTCTCAAGCCAGCATTCATGTGTTATTACTGATACAAATTCAAAGTTATACCCGCTGAATGCATGTTGATGCCAATTTTCATTGCAGAAGTAAAGAGGTATAAATATCTGGAACCGTCTTGATGGACTGCATTTTCTTAAGCTAAATTTTACATATGTTTTTCTTTCTTAGTAATTGATATTCATAATCTATTCATTCCTACTCTATATGCATTCACTTATTTTCATTTATTGCTGGAAAGACCAAAAATCAATCAATTGCAATTTTGACTCTTTTCCTTTTCTTTTGTTGTTTTTCTTTTAATTTGTGGCAACTGAGAGGGCTTTGCAAAGCTGCTGTTGTTATTGTTATTATTATTTTTTTATAAATAAAGTAGGTCAGCTTATTTCACCCATTTAATTGGACAGTTGATTCAGGGTTTTAATTAAATATTCTATACACATCTTTTAGTATAGAGTTTTTTTTTTTTTATTTACATGCAGGCTTCTTTTTATTGGTTTATGGTGGATAATAAGAATTCCTTTTAATAAGATAAGCAGGCTGTAGTTCTATACATTATATCCTTTCTTATCCACACATTTGCTTTCTCAAATTTACGTTGAATTTGATACTGCTATGGTATGGGTGCACTTCTGCATTATCCAATTTTTGGAAGGATGACATTTGATTCAAAAGTAAGTTTTTAATCAAACCAGACAATCTGGTATGATATGAGGCTTTAGGCTTTTCAAAGAAAAATCCCCACGTTCTTTTGTTTTGTTTCAAGAGAACCTTCCTTCCCTGCAAAAGATGGAAATCCTTCTTGTTGTTTCTTGCATTCTATGATTCCTGCTATTATGGACTAAAACTAAAAGAGTGAACCTATGGACAATAGAAAGAGTGAAATCTGGAAAAAAATGACTAAATCTCTCTCTTGATATTGTTGTTCATGATGGTTAGTTGGATTCCTGTTGTCATTAAGACGTACTTGTGTGTTCTTCGGTTTTTGGGAATTTAGTTGCTTGCCTACCTTTTGTTGTAATTTCTTTTTCCTTTTTTTTTTTTGCATTGATGAAATGTTCTTGTTTACCATAAATTGAATATATGGATATCAAAGGAACATGTATATCTAGGTTGGATGAAGATAGAACTAGAGTTACTTTAGGAAGAATCTGTTGGTTTAGAAAGTTGCTTCAAGAATAATGTGCTGACCTTGGAATTTATTTCTTCTATGGCTGCATTGAGTTTTTTAATCTGATCTTCTGTTTTGTTTCCTTGGAGTAGTGAAAAATGGATCAATTTGAATATTTTATTACCTGCAATATGTTACATTTTTTGTTTCATTCAAAATTTTATTCATGATAGGTCATACAAGACCCAGGACTGAGGGAACGACATCTTGGGGATCTTCAAGGTGTAGTATACCATGAAGCTGCCAAGTTAAAACCTAAGGCTTTTCAAGCATTTATATCTCACAAAACCAATCAAGAAATACCAGTAAGTTTTTTTATCTTTTGTGATCTTCTTATTCTAATTTATACACTCCTGGTTGGCAGTTAATCACCTATTCAAAAATAGGCATATGTCTTCCTTTTTTGATTCTGACTTCCTATTTGTAAGGAATTTATAGTCTTTTTTTTTATTTTTTTGGAGGACTGGAAATATGTGGATATCCGTTTTCCTGCTATACAGTTTCTCATTGTACAGAGGCTTATTTGTATTTTGGCTTTTGATATTAATGAATTACTTTACCTTATCCTCAAAAAAATTAATTATATCATTAATCTTTCAGTTATTCAAATAGTTGCACAAGTAAATGACTTGGGGTATGTTCCAATACCTATGCAGCATTTCTACTTGGAAGATGAATCAGATGATGCATAACAAAATTAATCCATTTAGCCTGAATTATTATTATAAAATATGGATACGGTAGTATAAACATTCTCCTTAATAATTTACAAAGACTTTACTTCTAGTTGTCAATTAATTACTTTATAATCATCCCATTCAGATGTGAATTCAACCAACTTAGTTTGAGACCTGAAATTGTAATCAAATTTCTCATTGAATGGTGATATATTCTGTGGTAGAGCTCTAGAAATGTGCTACTCCACTTATGGTCAACAGTTTTTAAAAATATTGAAAATTTTTCTTTTGATCATATTGGGCCAAAATGGGCCACTACCTAATGTTGGTCTTGGCTATCCAGGGTCTTGGGAGGAGGGGATTGGATATGGACCTAACTGTATTAAAATGTGGATGAGTTACAAGAGGGAGGACAATAAAGCCTTTCCTATTTGTGAATCACACTTTACAAAAACAGATATGAAATAAAGTATAACATTAGTATCTCACTATATGCCTTCTCAATTCTGATCAAAGTTAGTCCTACACATGCGTCCTAGTCCTGTAGTAACTATAGAAATGTAACACAGGAGAAAATCAAACCTATGATAACAGCAAATATCATTCTCGTTCATCATTCATGTTACTACAGCAGTTCAAGAATGCAAGAATAGTGGCTAACAGAGAAAATTGATATCTGCAATAGAAACCACCCAAGTTCTCCGGTTGGGACTCCTACTTAATCCATAGATATGCAGTAACCAAGAAATGGACTAACTTCAAGAATAACTTGAAATCCACTCCTTACGAAGCTAGGATTCAACATATACAAAAGGCAGCAATATAAAATAAATCGAAAACTACCAAAAGATTGCTAGTCCTTCTACAATTCATAATTAAAGACTATAAATTAATAGAAGAACTTCAAGGTCTAGTTGTCATTGAAAACTACAAAACTTTGTTATGTAGATTCTTTCTTCAACTTCTCATCTTGATAACTCAAAAATTATGAGTTGACTTCCTGGATCTGTCATGACTAGAAATCATAGCGATTGGAGAATATTCTCAAATGGCTTCAGTCTCAGGTTTTTTGGAGACCATATATGGAAGTATGTAATTGTTTGATAGCTTGGATGCCCAATCTCTTATTAGCAACCTAATATCTTGGCATCTCCCATGAATGGATCTTGATGCATTTTACCAAAGATTGTTGTATTCCTTTCCTTCCACAATCCCCACATGACAATAAAATATTTTCTTATATGATAAGACAGATGCAAGTATCTAGTCCACCCCTCTCAATGCCCCATATAGCTAGGACCAACATTGGGTAGTGGTCCTTAACAAGAGAGAGATGGCAAGGGATTGTTTATTTACTAATTATCTTTAACAATTTACAGTATAAAATACTTGCTTCACTATGACACTCAGCCAAGTGCCTTTTGAAGACATCTAATAAAATTAGAAAGCACATAAAAAAACTGGTCATTGTATAAGGATGACAAGCAGAAACTAGAAAAGGTCTGAAGCTTGAGCATTCCATAACCCTCTTTGATGGACCCTTTTACTTGGAGATCAGATCTTTGATATTTCGATTATGTTGTGATGAATCCAGGAAAGGAAAATAAGAAACCAGATTAGGAAGAGAAGAAGAAATTAGGTTTGAGAGAAATGTATCATGAGTAATAGTGTGCTGTCCCACCATGTGTTGTTACAGGTGGGACATCAATGAAAGGAAGTGTTGTTATAAGTGGGGGAAATCCCTTTAAGAAGGGAGACTCTCAAAAAAGGGTGGATGATAAAGAAAAATTATAGTGCACCCATTGCCAGAAGTCTTGGCACACTCGTGACACATGCTGGGACCTTCATGGAAATCCGAAATGGGCTCAGGAATTAAGTAAAAAACAAGGTTCAGATCTGAATAAAAAGTTAGGGAAACAAGGTTCAAGAAAGCTCACTATAGTAAACATGGTTACTTAGGAGAACCAGCCCTCAACTACTACTACAACTCAGACATACACCTCTAGTTCTGACCCTAGGGAGGATATCATTAATTCCTTTTGTGACCATTTAGAACTTTATGGTAAGACAATTTGTCAGATGGATGCTCCTCCTCCATCAACTTTATATGTGTCTACATCAGGTAATTCTACCACATCTCTCCATGTATCGTCTCATTCCTTTGACTCTCATTGGATAATTGATTCTAGAGCGTCAAAATATATGACTGGTAAGTCTACTTACTTTCAGACCTATCATCTTCTCTTTGGAAGAGACAAAGTGAGACTGGCTGATTGTTCATTCTCTACCATACCTGGTCAATGAACTATTTCTCTTCCTTTTAGTTCTACCCTTTCTAATGTTTTACATGTTCCATAATTCCTTATTAATTTGTTTTTTGCTAGTAGTATCACCAATTCATTAAACTGTTCAGTAACCTTCTTCCCTTATTGTGTGATTCAGGATTTGGCCTCGGGGAAGATGATTGGTAGAGGACGTATGGTGGATGGTGTCTGCTTGCTGGAGAATAAGGCTGGTCTTGCAGTCACAAAGTTCAAGAGTCAGGCCTATTTATGGCACAGTTGTCTTGGTCATTTATCATTTGATTCCTTAAAGATTGTGTTTCTAGAGTTGTTTAAGTCAATGTCAATGTCAAAGTTGATATGTCAAACTTGTCAGTTGAGTAAACATTGTAGAACTCATTTTTCTTCAAAGAATAATAAATCTGAATTTCCTTTCCATATTGTTTATTCTGATGTTTGGGGTCCAATTACTTTATCATTTGAAAGTGGCTACAAGTATTTTATTACCTTTATTGGTGACTACTCCAGGTACACATGGGTGTATCCCATGCGAACTAGGGATGAAGTACCAAAAATTATCCAAGATTTCCAAAGAATGATCTTCACCTAATTTCAAATCGAAATCCAAATCTTCTAATCCGATAATGCCAAAGAATATTTTCATAATGATCTCACAAAGTTCTTTGCTTCACGTGGATCACTCCACCATAGCTCCTGTGCCCGAACACCACAGCAAAATGGTGTAGATGAAAGAAAGAACTGCCACTTTCTTGAAGTGGCTTGGGGATTATTGATTCATATGATTGTCCCCAAACATTTTTAGCTTGAAGCTATCATTTGTGTTGCTTATCTCATTAATCACATGCCCTCTCAATGGTTAGAGTACAAAGCCCCACATCAACTTCTGTTTCCCAAGGCTCCTCTTTTGTCTATTCCTTTCTCTGTGTTTGGTTGTAATTGTTTTGTCCAAAACTTGTCACTCACTTGTGGGAAATTGGATCATTGTGCTATTCCTTGCATCTTCTTGGAGTACCTTACAACTCTCAAAATGGGTATCGGTGCTTTGATCCCGTCTCTCAAAAATATCATGGTTCTATGGATGTTTCCTTTTTTTGAGAGTGAACCTTTCTTTCATGTTTCCCTCATGGGGAGTGTAGGCATGAGAAAAAACAGGTTCAGCTTCCTCTTCTGCCTCAAATTCAGCTCCCTCCTCTTCCTGATCCTCCTCCCTTCCGTGTTTTCTGTCACTGTCACAAAGGCCAACCAAGTTCAAGAGTTGTGGAGCATCTAGAATCTGTACCACCAAAACCATTAAATTCTCCAGGGATGGATCCTACCCAGCCAGGTACCTTAGTTCCCATTGACATTTCTAACCCTATTACTATTGATACCTCCAGTCTGATGATCTTGACCTTCTTATTACTCACCGGAAGGGTGTTAGGTCTTACATTACTAAGCACCCCATTTCCCATTTTGTTTCCTAGGAAAACATTTCACCTTCCTTTCGGGCATTCCTCTCTTCCATTGATAGTGTCTCTATTCTTACTCCTAAGAATGTAGCAGAAGCTCTCTTGGTACCTAAATGGATAGATACAATGAAGGAAGAAATTAATGCATTACATAAAAATGGTATATGGGAATTGGTGGATCTTCTTGAGGGGAAGGAACCAGTTAGATGTAAATGGATATTTACAGTAAAACATAGGGCTGATGGCACAGTGAAGTGGTATAAAGCTCGTTTAGTGGCAAAAGGGTTCACTTAAGTGTATGGGGTGGATTATGTAGAAACTTTTGCACCTGTTGCTAAGATGAACTCCATTAGGGTTCTTTTCTCTTTAGATGCTAACTTTGATTGAGACCTTCACCAACTGGATATCAAGAATGCATTTCTAAATGATGATCTTGAAGAAGAAGTGTACATGGTACAACCCCCCGGTTTTCGGGTTCAAGGTAATGAACAAAAGGTATGTAGGTTAAAGAAGTCGTTATATGGCCTGAAACAATCACCAAGAGCTTGGTTCAGCAGATTCCAGGTAGTTGTACAACAAAAAGGCTACAAGCAATGTCAATCTGATCATGCATTGTTTGTGAAAAGAGGGGAAGGGAAAATTACAGCCCTAATAGTGTATGTTGATGATATAGTTATCACTAGTGCTTGGAAAGATGAAATTCAAAAGTTGAAGGGATTCCTTGCTATTCAGATTGAGGTGAAAGATCTAGGTCCTTTGAGATATTTCCTTGGAATCGAAGTTGCCCACTCACAAAAGGGTATCTTCATTTCTTAAAGAAAGTATGTCTTAGATTTGTTATAGGATATAGGAAAATTGGGAGTGAAACCTGTTGATTCTCCTATTGATCCTAATCACAAATTAAGTGATTGTCAAGGTGAATTCATCAAAGATGTGAAGCAATTTCAGAGGCTTGTAGGAAGACTGTTATATCTCTCCATGACTCGGCCAGACATTGCTTATGCAGTGGGTGTTCTTAGTAAATTCATGCCTGCCCCTAAGACCACCCACCTTGAAGCAGCTGAAAGAATTCTCAAGTATCTTAAGAAATTCCCAGGTGTAGGTTTATTGTTCCAAAAGCATGAGCATTTGAAGGTTGAAGTGTATACTGATGCTGATTGGGCAGGATTACTGGATGATAGGAAGTCTACCAGTGGCTACTGTACCTTTGTGGGAGGAAACCTAGTCACATGGAGAAGCAAAAGGCAGAATGTGGTGGATAGGTCTAGTGTTGAAGCTGAATATAGAGCAATATCTCATGGAGTGGCTGAAATAGTGTGGCTACAAAATTTGTTGAGTGAATTGAGATTTACAGTTGATGGACCTATGACTTTATATTATGATAACAAGGCAACCATAAACATTGATGCTAACCCAGTATTGCATGATAGAACCAAGCACATTGAGGTAGACAAGCATTTTATCAAAGAAAATGTTGTCAAACTTCACAAAAGGGTTACATCATTTGCGGCATAATGATCTATGTGACAAGTTGGGCATGATTGACATCTATGTCCCAACTTGAGGGGGAGACAGGGAGTGTTAAAAGGCTGTTTGTCTTTTGTTTTATTTCTGTTTAGTATTGCAGGGGTACTATTGTAAGTCCCCTTCTTTTATATTATGTTATGGTCGCCCTAATATAAATACCAAAAAAGCTGGCGCTGCCAGCACTGAGTTTTGCTCACAGATCTCTCTTTTCTCCTCTTCCTTCTCTCTTCTCTTCACTTTCTCTTCTAGATAATGGTCTCAATAAGAAAACAATATACAATTTGCACCATAGAAACATAAATGTTTTAACTGTTAAAAGTACTAAAGATTTTTACATGCTCTTTCTTGTTTCTCTGCTCCCATTTCTTCCACATGATACATTTGGTGCCATCAAGGCCATTCTATTTATTTATTTGATAGGTACATTGAGGGAATAGTTGTTAAAGCTTCACTAAAGCACCTATCTAGGTGTTGCTTCAATGAGGAGCACCTAACCTAAAATAAGGGCAGCCCATTGTGAGTTCAAATCAGCCCCCCCACAACATCCCCGCCGTGTATTGGGAACATCTCCCGATGATGACATCATCATTTTTGGGATTATCATCGGCAGATGTTCCCAATACACGGCGGGGATGTGCTGTGGGACATTGTGGGGGGCTGATTTGGTCTTGCTCATTGCACGAGGCTCCTGCCAATGCGGGGTCTGGGAAGGACAGATGTACGTAGCCTTACCCCTGCACATACAGAGAGGCTGTTTCCAAGATTTGAACCCTAGTCACCAAGGTCACAGTGGAGCAACCCAGCCGCTGCACCAAGGCCCACACTCAGCACCTAGCCTAAAACATATGATTTATATTAAAACAGCACCTACAAGGTGTCTTATTAGTATGAATATTGATAGGTGATACATCTTATCATTATTTATGTTTTGTTTTAGGATTTTATTTTTGAAATACAAAAGACCTAAGGGCTTTGAGGAGAGAGAAAAAAGAAGTGAAGGGCAAAAAACAAGGGTCCCTTAATTCTCTTTTTCTTCTTTTTCTACAATTATTACTATCTATTATAATATTGCTAACATTGTGTTTTTATATTTAAATTCATAGTTTTGAAATAGTAATGTCCTTTAAATGTCATGATTTTATATTTTTACCATGTTTTGATATGGAATTCATTGCTGCTTAGTAAAGATCATTGCTATCTTTCAATTCTTGCTAATTGATACACAAAACTAAGAACCTAACCTGGAAGTTAGATTCTTTTCTTTGTCAGCATGTCACCTAGAATCACCAATATGCCTCGACAACTATGATTGAAGTAGTTAATTGTCTTTACCTAAAATCAACCACGTTGATCAGAAGTTTGGAAATCTCTCTTTCAGAGATATCCTGTCAGCATGTCACCTAGGAATGAACTAGTGCCCCCAAATGAACTTGGGTTGTGCTGTTATGCATGGACCATGCTGGCTTTTGTTAAGGTTAAAAAACAATATATATTTGACAATTCCAAACTATAACAAGACCAAAGCACCTCCCCCATGGGTATATACATATAAAAGTTAAAATTTCATTGATATCATAAATAATAAGTAAACGTTACAAGCATCCCAAGGAGAGGTGTGAGGTGCAGCCTAACACTTAAAGAAAAAATAGCAAGATATTTACAACTGTGCCCGAAACAACTGATCCCTCATTACCCCTTGCTTGGCTAAAGAATCAGCCAAACCATTAGCTTCCCTCCCCACCCATTGTATAACCAGATTCATATGTTGTGTTAGCCATTTGAACTTCTTCATTTCATCTCTATAGCACCATATTGCTGATTCCGGATTCTTTATCCAGCCCACCACCACCTTGGAGTCCCCTTCTATCACCAGGTTCTCCGCATCCATTTCTTTTGCTATCTGGACAACTTGTAATACTGCATACAACTCAGCTTTCAACAAGTCTCCATTCCCCACCTGTCCTGAATAGAGTGATATTAGATTCCCTTGTCTCTTATGGCCCCTCCAATTCCAGAAGGACCTAGGTTGCCTTGACTACTTCCATCAAAATTTAGTTTCAAAAAATCTTCAAATGGAGGCCCCTCCAAGTCCAAGGCCAAAAGTGTTGCTTTGGAAAGGGAGAAGTGTTAACTTCTAACTTCTGATGAATGTTCTTTTTTGTTTTTTGTTTTTTTTTTCACTAAGGGTGCAACTAGAGTGGGCTCAGGTTGATCATTTCTTAAATTCCAAAGCCATCTTTGTTGGTTGTGCCTGGCACACATGTTTTGACCTTGTGTCAATATTCAGACGTCTCTCCTGATTCCATTGTATTAATTCCACTTCATACTCGCAATATGCTCTTTATGGTCCCGGTTCATGATTCAATTGCTGTGTATTTAGTTATTGAACCTCAATGTTTATGTTGTTATGTGATCGCAGCATAAAAGAAAGTCTGAATTTTCCATAGAATCCAGCTCAAAATATTTGATCTTAGATGCAATTGCACCTTGTTTTCTTGGTGAAGAGGTAGTGCGATTCCAGAATAGTGAGAAGAGGAGGAGAAGAGAGAAGAGAGAAAAGAGAAAAAAGATTTGAGAGGGGAAAAAAGTCACCTGGCGGCGCCAGCCTTTTTAATATTTGTACTAGGGCGACCATACAGAAATAAAAAGGTGTAATTACAAATGTTCCCTTGTGGCACTAAACTGAAAAATAAACTATGTTATTCAACACACCTCTACTTTTCACAAAAGATGTGTCCCATTTATTCAAAAAGGGTTATGCCCTAATGAATGTATTTTTTATGAGCTCAATAAACAAATAAAGTTTTGTTCTACAGATAACCTCTATGTCTCTTAGGTGTGAACTAACACCTCAATGATCCACTTGGTTTCTGCTATTATAAATGAACCATCCCCTGGATTAAGAGCAAAGCCACGAGTGGACCAAACTGTCAAAAGAAACAGATAAAAAATAACTGTTTTATAAGTATAAAAAGATGCATGGAATTATCCAGGAACTGCCTGCCATGCAACTTGTTCCTTGAGGCACCATATGCTACTTGATTATTTTCCACATGTATTAGTCAGATCCTGGCACACTTAATGGAATCATATCTAATCCTTGAGTTGGCTTTCTCTGATTTATAATATTCAGGGTGGTGGAGAAAGTCTTGATCAACTTCATCAACGATGCACGTCTACCCTGGAAAGAATCGGCAGGAAGCATAAAGGTATGGTTTCTTCACAGCTGCCTCTTTGAGAGATTTCTTGGGCAAAAAGAAACATTTACTTGTTCAAAAGTCACTGGATGAATCAGAAAGTGCTGCAAACTATCCTTTAATCGGGCCATCATGTATCACATATGATTCTATATGGCTATTTCATTTTCCTACCTTCTAATATATAATACCTTGTCCTTATCAAAAATATATAATATCTTGTTTTTATCACATCATGAAGAATGCAACTGTAATTGGAGATTCGAAGTTAGTTATAAGCCGGTTGCGAAAGGAGGATGTGAGTAGGTGGAATTTGTTGGTTGTGCCCAGCACACATGTTTTGGAGTAAAACCAATTCCTCCTAAGATTGGTGTTTGTTGTTGGGGAGCATTTTTGAAAGCTAAGGGTGACCCCCCTGCCAGATGTACAAAGCTTGTTTGCTTCTACTTTCTTCAGCTGGTTGAAAAAGTAGGGAAGAATATTTTAGAGGTGCACAAGAGTTGCAGTTTGGTGGATAATTTGGGGAGAAAGAAACTTGAGAGTTTTTTCAAAGAAGTAGAGAAGCCTTACTTGAAATTATTACCATCAGGGTGGTACATTGGGTGAAACCCTTACTCCTTTGAGGATATAAATGCTAATGGCTTGCATAAGAAGTGGAAGGAGGCGGCAAACTCAGCTCCTCATGCTGCTGTTATCAGGTGGTCTTGGTCCCTGACGGTTGGTTGCTTCACCAAGCTGAATTTTGGTGGTAGTAGTGAAGGAAATCCTTGTCCTTCAGGCATTGGAGGGGTTTTTAGGAATGATGAAGGAAGAATTCTTGCCTGTTTTTTCATGTCCATTTGGTGTTGGTGATTCTTTGAGGGCCCATGGAAGGTATAAGGGCCAAGGAGTTGAATGTTTGGAAATTGATTATTGAGGGAGATTCAAAGTTAGTGATAAGCTGACTGCAAAAGGAGGATGTGGATTGGTGGAATTATGTTAATGAAAAAAGGAAATTCAAGTGGAGAGTTAAGAGAATTTGTCTCTCCCTTTTCTGACTGTATTGTATCTTCTTTCTATTAATCTTTAATGAAGTAATTCAGTTGTTGATAAAAAAGAAGAAAAAAGGATCCAAAAGTTCTAAATTAGGCAGATATATTAATATCATCCAAGTACAAAAAAGAATGTTTCAGTATGATGTGATATTGTTCTGGCAGGTACTCCATGTTAGAAATGTCCCTGCCGGAGTTGTTAGGAAGTTAGGATCAGTTTTCAATCCAAAAGTGGAAGAGATGTATGTTGGAACTAATCTTCAATGCATTAGTTTATCTAAACTAGATGGTGCCTATGTCAATTCATTAGTGCCATGTTTTGCTTTTCATTTCTCTGAGTTGCTTTCTTTGTCAGAGTCCAAAAAAATGTTTGTAGTTTAAACTTTAAACTTACCCTCAAACTATGATTGAATAAGCGCATGCCATTGCTTATAATTGAACCTAGCAAAGCCTTAACCAACTATATATGTGGTTGGCTAACAAGTCATGAGTCCTGTTTTGCCATTCCACCCTATGAAACGACAACTCAGGTTCATGTTCATAATGGCTTGGCATAAGTGATACGCTGGCTGCCAGTCTGACAAAAACCTCTTTTGTTGAGGCATGGGAGTGGCAGTGGGAGAGCAAGACAAACTCAATATTAGAAGAGTTGCATGCTATAACTTTTCTAGTTTAAGAACAATTGAAGTTTGTACCATAAACCTCTACCATTCTGCCAACCCCTCATGATTTCTTTCTGTATGCATGGCCATGGAAGTTGGATAGTCATAAAAATCTTTGCTGCTGCTGTTTGTTTGGAAACAATTATGGTTATTATTAACACCACTTATTTGGTATTGTCTACCGCAGGAGATAGAGTGGTCGTAGTCGCTCACGGAGGTGTCATCAGATCATTCTACAAGCGAGCTGTCCCAAAGGGACCATCTTCAGGGAAGATACTAAATACGTCTGTTAGCGTATTTCACCTGTCAGACAGGGAGGGTTGGCTAATAAAATCATGGGGTGATGTGAGCCATCTTAGCCAAACAGGGTTTCTCCAGAACGCCTTTGGAGGTGACAAAAATTCAGGATGATTCATAAGCTACTAACTCTAGGGTTCTATTTGATTTGATCCGAAACTGCGGACATAAGTCTCTTTCACTATGTTTGTGTGCAGATTAATCACCCAAAATGCCACTCAGCCATTAAGAAACCAATAATGAACAACTTATTCACAACTAGTCAAAGCTATAAAGTCATTCACTTAAGCAGTTCAAATGGTCCCACGATGTCATTAAACTCGGGAGGCTTAAGATAAAACCCTTTTTATTCGGTAAAATTTCTGAACATTGGGAAAAAGTTACGCAAGAGTAGAATTTTCACCAATTAACATGGTCATTAGGCGTCTGTTTTTCACTAATTTTCTTTTAGTTTGATAGGAAAATCTTTTTGATGTCTGCAAAATTATTTCCACGCTTATGAAAATCCAATGTTAAGGCATAAAAGAGTAGCATAAATATAGTTAATTGATGAATAATTGAGAACATTAAATTTCAGATGCTTTTTTGGTAGTCCATCCCCAACCCAGGTACAGGCGGGATTCGATCCAAATTCTCCGCTACAACCACCAACCAGTTGGTTGGCACCATGATGCATTACAACAGTACAAGAAATTTAGAATATTGGGTAACAGTACACCAATATTCTTAATTTCTTGTACTCTTGTAATGTAAAGTTGCCCAATATTCTTGATTTCTTGTACTCTTGTAATGCATATAAAGTTTAATTTTCTTGTTTAGTTTTTTTTTAAGCTGTTTGTTTTCTCTGTCGTTTTCTCTTTGCTTGTATTCTGGACTACCAAAACAACCAATGCTTGGAAAATCAGGCCAGCCACGCGGTTGAATGAAGAAAACCAATAATATCCAGAGTTGGCCCTTTCTTTCTCTGTGGGAACCTGTTCTTAAAACATTGGTGTATAATGAAGTAATCAACAGATTCCCAGGTCGTGGGAACGCCAATCAAATACCTTATCAACAAGATATCGGCCGCCTTGATTTTAATTAGTCTAAAAAAATTAATATTGCCAATCTCTCTCTCTCTCTCTCAACTAGGATCTTGAGTGATGTTCAAGTAGGACGGCTGTATCTTGTTCTTGTTTGATTATTATCGGAATGCCCCATCGGCGTCAGTACATAAAACACAAGGATTCGAAGCGTTTGATTGTAACTTCCATGGCCCATACAGATAAAACGAGCCTTCAATAGAATCGAACCATAGTGTTTTTTGTTTTATTTTGTTTGTATTTGTGGAAATGAATGAAATATTTCATTGCTCAGAAGAATCAGTCGCCAGTACATCATTTACAAAATCAGGAGAAGACCACGTAAATGACCTACACAAACTGCATGCAAATTTTACTGTTACGGGCGACATGATAAAAAGAGCAATAGAAGAAATCTTTTACTGAGTGACCTGCAACAGGCACTTGATAACAAACAGGCGCCTCCTTCAAATTGAATAGTTGAACTGTTGAAGTATTGAACTTGAACATGAATAAGGTCCGGATTTAGTGCGAAGGAGAATCCTTCCAAGAAGGCCATAGCTTCAGTTTCCGATGGAATTGCATAGAACTCAGCTATAGGTTGCCTGAATCTGCATAACACCTTGTTGAGGAAAGTGACCAAAAGTAGTATCTGAATAATTTAGGCTGTTTCGGTTTGATAGACAGTAAGAGAGACATAAAGTTGAGGGAAGCGAGGCCACCTCAATTTTATGTTTTTCTGTTATTTTCCTTCAAACCAAACATAACCTTAATGTTTGGGAATCAAAATGTGGTGGTCGATAGTAGGGGTGAGCAAATGGATAGGTTCTACCCGGAACCGAATGGAACCAACCTCGAATCTGCCTTGAATAAACCCTACCCAGTCTGTTATAGGATTGGATCTGGTTCCAAATTCCTAGAACCAACCCCCACCCTAGGTCGGTTCTAGGGTCTAGGGGTTTACCTTACCCGAATTGACCTTGCTTGGCCTTGATGGAACCGGCCTTGGAACCGAACTTGCTTTGAAATATGTCCCAAATTTTTTTTAAGGATGTGAAGATTTGAAACCAAGCACTCATGGTTACAAAAGCCATGGTCTCACTTTTTCATTGAGTTACTTAAGTGGTTTGATCATTTGTTTTCATTTTAATATTTGAATATGTTACCTAAATAATGTAAAATGTAGCATTTACAAAATTTAAATTATAATGACAAATTTTGAACCACATATTAATATATTATGATAATCTATATATTAAATTACTCAATTTAATTAGTAAAGATAATATAAGTTTAAAATTATATATTATCATTATTGAAAATTAAGTTTTTAAAAGAGATGTTTCTTTTTCTTTTTTCTTTTTTTTTGAAATGGGAGAGTAAAGAAAGAATAGATTCCACAGGTAGACCTTGGAACCAATGCCGGAACTGCCAAGGCCAGGACTGACCTTGAGACCAACATTCACAGAATTAGTTCCAGATCCAAAAACCTGAAACCAAACCGAACTGACCCATACTCACCTCTAGTCGATAGCGCATTAACTAATTTCTGCTACCTGTTACTTTGGAACCAATCACGTTCTAACACGCCAAACACCCTCCCCATTTCTTTCTCTGTTTGTAAGAGGCTAGGCATTCCGCATCCCTTACAAGGGAGAAGAGAAATGTCCAGCCCACAAGAGCCGAACTGGCCCAGTTTAAATAACTCACTGGATTCAGGGATCCTCTCTTCAAACAGTGATGCAGTCCAAATGGGTAACTAGTGTAGTGCATACACCAGATGATTTCTGAAACCGATGTACAGACCAACCTCACAGCACGTTGCAGCTCTGCATTAGGAACATCTCCCCATAAATGATAACTTACAAGTAGGGAGAGGTTCCAGATATGCACTCCAACTTCTGTAAGGTTCGTGTGAGGACCAAATCCGAACTCGTTGGATCGAAAGTCTATGTCCCTTGTATTCTCATGAATGAATAGTTTGTGTCCGATTGCAAGCATGGGCATGCATCTTATCTGGGCCCAAACCATATATTGCAATCACCATCAACCAAAAGGATGTAGATAAATGACAACTTTTTTTGGTGGTGGTTGCTTTCAAGCAGTTGAGTTTCTTCCTCAACTCTCAACTTTCTCTCTTTTCCCTTTTTTTTTCTTTCAACAGTATATATATATATATAACCTTTACTTTCCAGGAAAGAAGAAGGGATGCTTTCACTTGGGGTAAAGACAAGATCTTGATCAACTCCACAAATGCCCGTTTTATTCTTGGTCAATTTCGGTGTCTTCTAGTCAAGCCACAATGATGGTGATGATGAAGAGAGAGATGGTACAGGATTTCATATCATGGCATCCATGTTTAGTGCAGACCCACGTACAGGATTTCATATCATGGCATCCATGTTTAGTGCAGAACCCACCCATGATTATAATGATTTTAGTGGGGAGAAACAAATCTGAGGCCCAAGGGCCACTTTTGGCTTGGAAGCTGGAATGAGAGATTTTTGGAACTCCTACTCACTCACCCACATCACTAAAAAAGAGCTATATTGGTTCACATTGATGATTGAACTTCTACTTCTTGGTGCATTTGAAAAAATCACGGTGGAGGTGGACCCATCAAGGCAAACTAAACTAATTTTGCAGTGGGACCCTTGTTGGGTTTTGGTTCACACAGATGGTTCATGTTGGCATCATATCAGTCTGGCGTCGAAATGGGCCGCTGGTTAACTTTTCTTTGGTCCATTAATTAGATGTACAAATTAGTGGAGAGAATATATGGGCCTCTGGATACATGCACTGAAGTTTCATTTGTGCATTCATGAAACTGTCAGTCGCTATATGATGGATGGTCGGTCAACTATGTAAAGACATAATAAATATTTGGAAAATACTGGAATGTGAGGGTGTTGTTCATTCTGTATTTAATGAGAATGATTTGTATTGTAACCATATATTCCCCCTTTGTATTGGATATGTATGTCACTTTTTGATCCTAAGTCCCATTTTATGACCTTATTTCTAATAAAATAAAATGAATGGCTGAGGTATTTCTATATCCTCTATAATGAACAGTGTTACGGCATGTAAGTATAACTCTCCAAGGCCTCATTCATTCTGCTCTGCGTTATTCAAGTTACAAGTGATTCCTGGGAAAACGTTGCCCGGGTAGAATGTTATTTAAGGCATGAGAATTCATGTAATTTGAATTTTCGGTGAATAAAAAAAAAAGTAATGTATCCACCCTTCAAACGAGTCTGGGTCTCTTGTTCACACAAATTCTGTCCATGTTTATCGCAGCTACACATGGAGAACATCTCAACCTCTACATAGTATTATGCAGGGGGAGATGTCCCAATTCACGGGGGTAGTGTGTTGTGGGTAGACGTGGACAGAGTTCTCATGGACAGAAGATCCGAAATCCCTCCAAATAACCAAACTGAATTTCCTGCCCACTACTCTCTACCCACTGTGAATTGCAGCACACATTACCATCTTAAACTGTGAGATGTGCGGCTGCAATTTATGATGGATAGAATGTGGGTAGAAAAAGTGAGTAGGAAATATATTCTCCAAAACGAAGTTTTCTATGGGCCCCAATGTAGTGGCATTTGAATACAAGGTTATTGCAATTCCATAAGATCCACCCTCTTAGCCCCCACCCCCTCATTTTTACCGGAAAATAAACAAGGTCTAAATATTTTGTTCAAATGAAATAGAGATGTTTTCAAGGAAAAAAAGGTAAAAGAAACAAAGATGTTAAATCAAGGGCATGTGTGTGGTTTGTGGTTTAGTTTCTGTTCTTAAGGCTCAGTTTTGAAGGAATACAAATACAAATTTGTAGAATGCAAAACCTTATATTTTATATTATTTTGTACATATTTGTATTTGCACTCTTTCCAAACTGAGCCTAATGATGATAAATCCCTTTTGTTGCTTTCACCATGTTAATTTGTGGTTTTAAAACCAGTAACCCATGATTCTAGAATCAGCAAGATACCAATTATTTTGTATTTTAATTTGGACAATATGCCAATGAGCCATTAGTTCAGATGGTTATTTGGCATCCCACTAGAAGAAGATAAAACCCACGTATCCACAGGCTCTTGATGGTAAGGTTAATGGACCTCACGTGTGCCTTGCCCTGTCATCAATAGTATATGAATGATATGGCATGACAGTTATATATTGAATCTTACACATTAAAAATGTTTCTCTTAATAAAAAGGGCAGCCCAATGCACAAGACTCCTGCCAATGCAGGGTTTAAGGGGGCACGGATGTTCCCCATATATAGAGAGACTGTTTCCAAGTTTTAAAACCCTAATCACCCAGGTCGCAATGGAGCAACTCAACTGTTACATGAAGGTCCACTCTCTTCTCTTACTCAATAACAACCGTACAATCAAAAGTGAGTGGTCAGAATGCATTTACATGCAAGCCAAACAATGAACACAGATTGTACTTACATATTTAGCCTAAAAAATGAACCTTGAACAAAACAACCTCTTTTGTATTGTTGGGTTAGAAACATGCATTGTCATTTTATGAAAAAGACGATGCATTTTCTGAACCATGCCACCTTTTTTAGAACCACAAACTGAACATCATACCAGTAGGACTTGTTAATCCAAGTGTTAAAGGCAGCCCGTCCAACCCCGTCCAGACTCAGACAGGATGAAAGTTGTCGACCCTATTAAGAGAAAATGGAATGTAGAAACAAACAAAAGATCCTGATATACTGCAGCAGGTTATCTCAGGTAGAGTCTGAATCTATCTTGTGTGAGGTTTATTACCAATCTGAAATTTGAGTAGAAATAAGAAAATTGGATTCACACACAATATCATGAAAAGAAAGAAATAAAAGGTAGACTGATTCAAGTGGGGTTGGTGGGTCAGGTTTAGGGATGGCGTGCTTTTCTTTTTGTTTGAAGGACGGGTCTTGAGGCAGGGATGGTTTTGAGATTCTACAACCCATACTGCATATTATTGGAAATAATATGAACTTTATGTATTAGGTGTTAAACTTAATAATATTTTGAATTTTATATGAAGGATAATTGATGGTTTATGTATTTTTTGCAAGTTTTAATTAAATAATTAGAAATTTTGTTATTTGTTTATATTATTTTACTTATTTATTGCTTATATATAATAAGAAATACTAGGAAATTAGATGTGGCTTCTAAACCCAACCTGCCATACCCTTAAATGCAGAGAGGACAGAAACGGGGAGGGTTTTGAATTTTTATGTGTGAGAAGGATTTGGTTTCTCAAAAAACACCCCACTATGAATTTTGGAGTAGGTACGAGTTAGGGGGTTTAGGGAGACAAATAGGGTATTGAATTTACAAAACCCACCCTATTACCATCCCTAGTCAGATTAATAAGCACGACGTCTTCTTAAGCCCTCATCTACATCCTTTGCGTAAAGGCAAAATATATTGATTAGCTAGTATTGAGGAGGGAGAGAAGAAAGAATCAAAGATGGTGCTGGGTAATTATACATTGGGAAGAAAGTGTGAAGAGAAAGAGACTACTCATAATTAAAACCACGCATTTTGTAGGTAGGGAGTAGGGAGTCTACTTATTTTAGACACTAAACTTCTCCTAAGCTGTTCATCAGGAAAAACTCTAGGTGATCCATATACCTACATCTATATAATTCAGGCATGTATAGGGAGTAAACTGGCTACAGATAGCTCAAAGCAAATGCATCTACATAAACCCAGGCATCTTTATCATCTCAACTTCAGTAGGTAGCTTTTCAGCTCAACAGTCTCTGTTATAACACTGCAGAAGAAAGCCCTCTCTTTTAAGTTTCTTCTTTTTTTAGATGAAAGTTGTTAAGTGGCTTGCATTTTCATGAGAAGATATGGACGTAAGGTGGGGTTCAGAGCCGTAGGAACCACTTATCTTTCCGAGGCTTCACATCCTTTCCCCCTTGGCAGCAGAGCAGATCAATGAATGGGTTGGTTAGAGTTGAATGATTTTTGGGTTTCTTATTAGTCACTTTGCTTACCGAAAATAATGAAAGAAAAGAAAATTAAAGAAAGTGAAATTTGATTTAGATGTGTACATGTTGACATGATGAAGAAGCCTAGCTAGCTAGATTGATTACACCAGTTTTACACATTTTTGAAAACAATGGGAAGTTGTATAGGAAGATCTTAATGTCGTTTATTTTGAATTTTGATTATCAAGTTTAGGTTTTATTTGATCAGAAATAAGATGAAAGAAATCGAACCATTTCTTGAACATTGTTGTTTTATGGTATTATAAACCTGTTCAAGGATCGGATAGCCTGACAGACTGGCTCAGTCTGACTTGTTCATTGTCAGGCTTAGACATAGTTTTAGGCCTGGGGACCGGGGTCTAATCATCAGGCCCAGTTATATTTTGGGCCACGTTTAACATTTCTCAAACCAGGCCTGGGTTCAGGTTCAAAATCTAGGCTTGATGGTTGGGACAGGCTCGGATTCGGGCCTAAACATAATTATTGATCATAAGCAAAACTAACCCATGAGCAGGTCTAATGGTTTGCATGCAAAATGACTTACCAAAACAACCATTTTCCAAAAAATAAGTAATAATTGTAAGAAAATGACATTTCTTCTATTTTTTTTGTCAAATGCCTAAGTCCTCTGAACTGAACTGTGGCCCATGAATGCACAGAGAAGTAATATGGGGGAGTCCTTTAGATCCATCTGGCAATTAAGTATTTATCAAAGATTGTGTGTTGTGCATACATTATCTAAAATAGTTTAATGAATGGTAGTTGATTTATGATTTTAATGGGCATTGAATGTGAAGGGTCTCAATACCTAAATCAGATCTGCTGAAGGTAAAAAAGCATGCAAGCATAACATCTTCACATGAATCTGACATATAATTTTTCCTAGGGGTGAGAGATTTTTAATGTTTTTTTGGCGGGTGAATAAACAACTTATCACCCCGAAGAGAATATCGATTAATCGAAAAGCCGATACTCTCTAAAAAATGATTTTGTTCATGGAACTCATTATACTAAATAAAAAAAAAATCAATTGCCTGGTTGATCAACTTATCCCCATGAAATACTCATAAGTCTTAATTTCATAGCCCATTAAACGAATTCTGATTAATTGAATGCTTTAATCGTTTAGTAGGCTGTGGAACCAATGATGAAGTTTTACATCAACATTATAGGCCTTATCGTAAAAGATGTAGGTCTATGTATTTAATACTGGCGTAATACCTTATCATTAATTCCAAACTAAATAAAATTAAAATTCAGAAGGTATACTGTACACTTACAAAGCCCACAATTTTTTTTTTCCAGAAATTCAGAGATTCAGGTTAAAAGAAAAATTCCAAGGAAAAGCAAAAGCATTCACAAATCCTTTTATTGTTGTCTGGATGCTCAGATTTTGTGGATAATAATATTAAACAATAATAGCATTGCTCCAATTTCAAGATTCGATACATCTCTTATTATTTTATTACATTAATTTAATAATAAAATAATAATCGTCTAGGTTACCCGCCGTTAGATACTTAAAACCCAAACCCCCACACTTCCACCGCATAGAAGCTCTGCTTGGCCCAAGGTGATCCGAAGTCCGATGATCTTCAAATGGATCAACCGGTGGGGCCACGTCTTGGCTAATGGAGCCACCTTTAATTAACCATGTTTAATTAATATTTAAACTCCATTATTTTATTATTAATTACTCACATTTGTTAATTTTTTTATTTTAAATTGTTTGTATTTTTCTGTTAACTATCGTCTGTACACCGGAAACCGGATTCACTGCTTGTCAGAACATCCCAGGTTGTGCTTGTTCTGTGATTTAAAACCCGATCAGAGACGATGGTTTAACAATGTCAATAACTATAACTAACCGATAACCTACTCAGGAAAAAATCCTGAGTATACGCCACGTGGCAAGAAAATGTACAGCCTGGATTATCCGTGCGTTGACGTACTGTACCTGCAAAAGCGACCACATCAACGTTTATTTTCTACTATTCATCTACTCCTCGTCGTTCTTTCGTTCTTTTTACTCTTTTCTCACTGTCTCCCTCTTCCCGTCTCTCTTTTTTTTTTACTAGGGTTTTGAAGAGAAAAAGGTCGAGATTAGCAGAGAGGGAGAGAGATAGAGAGAAAGAAAGGAGAGATACTTGAAATCTGATTGAACTGATTTGATTTGGGGAGAGATGTGTTAGAGTGGGGTTTAGGTAGGGGAAATGGGGCTCTGCACTTCGAAACCCTCCCCAAGACCTGATCTTTACGCCAGCAGAGAAGAGAAACGAGTGCCAGAAAACCCTAAGCCTTCTGAGGTTTCTGTTAATGGGGGAAATGAGAATCATAATCAGCAACAACAGCATCACCACCAACAGCAACGGCAGCAGCAGAAAGCTGAGGCAGAAGTAGGAAAAAAATCTCCTTTTTTCCCTTTTTACAGCCCAAGCCCTGCTCATTATTTGTTCTCTAAGAAATCTCCGGCACCAAGCTCTAACTCTACGCCGAGGAGGTTCTTTAAGAAGCCTTTTCCACCACCATCTCCCGCCAAGCATATCCGGGCTGTCTTGGCACGGAGGCACGGATCGGTGAAGCCGAATGAAGCCGCTATACCTGAAGGAAACGAGTCAGAGAGCATTGCTGGCCTTGATAAGAGCTTTGGATTTTCGAAACATTTTGCCAGTAAGTATGAGCTTGGAGATGAGGTTGGACGTGGTCATTTCGGGTACACGTGTGCGGCCAGGTTTAAGAAAGGAGAGCTTAAGGGCCAACAGGTTGCTGTCAAAGTTATCCCGAAAGCCAAGGTTTGGCCTCTCTATCTTTATATCTCGTTAATGGAAGAGCATTAAAGTTCAGATATCAGTTATTTCTTACCTCTCCGGAGAACTCTTTTCCCACATTTTCTTATGAATTAGTGTCCACTAGGTTGAGGTTGTGTGGAATTTTTTATTTTAGTTTATAGAAACTGAATCATGGCTGAATCTGAATGCTTTTGACATTTCAGAGATGGGGCTGCACGGATCAACTGTTTCCATCTAATGATCTGGATGTTTTTTCAGCTAGGATGCATTTATCTCTGATAAAACCAACAATTTTCATTCGTCCTTATCGTCTGGGATCAAGAAGATGGTTTTGTTTTTCTTTTGGCTTTTCTTTCCTATTGGTTGCATGTGTGAACAATGAGCCAGTATTTGGTGCGATTCAAGTTCTACTGGTATTTATGTCTTCTTGAAGTTGAATGAAAAACTGATTGTATACGAAGATTTCTAATACAAGGGCAACAAATCTGTCAATGGCAAGTTGATGAACGTATTTTGGGAGAATAAGTTCTTAGCCCATCAGCAGAGGCTCGCTGAGTGTTAGCATAAGAAGTAATTGATGGATGTGTTCGTTGACTTTGTTTAAAGTTTAAACTGGCAGAGCTGACTCATTTTGTGCAGGACCTAATCATAGTTGTCAAGTCAGAGACCAGATCTGCTCCTCACACCTGGTGCCTTACAGGCGCCTCACACGCACATCCTATCATGCATTGGGAACATCTCCCGTACTTATTAGTGATTATTCATGGGATATGTTCCCAATGCACGGTGGATGTGCCTGTGAGGCGCCCATTTGTGAGGAGCAGATCCCATCACGTCAAGGCATTGCCTAGGTGAGTAGGTGCCCTTGGCTGGGCACCATGCCTAAACACCTTGACTTATAGCAACTAGAAGCCTGCCTAGGCAACAAAAAAGACAAGGTGGGAACCTTTTATTTAATATCATTTATATTATTGTATCTTATTAATATGTGTGTTAATACATTTTATTATATGCTATATATATCATTTATACTTTGTTTTGATGTTTTACTATTGAAATTTAAAATATCAAAGGGTTTTGAGGAGAGAAAAAGAAAGAAAGAAAGAAAGAAAGAAAGAAGGAAAGAAGGAAAGAAAAAAAGAAAGAAGGAAAGAAAGAATAGAAGTATAGAGAGGTTCTTTTTTTCTATTCTCTCTCTCTCTCTCTCTTCAATTAAATAAAACAGAAATTCCATCCTTTTTTTATTTTACTTTCCATCTTGAATGTTTATCATATAAAGTTAATAACCTTCTTTAGCTGCTAATTGATGTGAAATTGCTCTATTAAATACATTATAGTAGTATTATTTTTGAAAACAATGAAATTAATATATGTAAAAGATTTTTTATCTTTTAGTTGTGATGATTTGCCACATTTTTAGAGGAAATTAATGTTCTTAATAAAGAGAATATCTATTTTTTTAATTACTATACATGCTGAATGGTATGCAAAACTAGTGAACTAGCCAAAAGTTAGTTCTTTATATTATAAAATTCTTGTTGCCCTGCCACCTCAGTGTCGCCTAGAATCACCCAGTGATTTAAAAGGCGCGCTTAGGCGCACAGGAGAGGCGCATTTTAGGGTAGGTGCCTCACCCAGGTCCTAGGTGCAGCACTTCAAAATGCGCCTTGCACCTTGGCTCAGGCGTGCGCCTTTTTAAAATTGTACGCTTTTTTGCTTTTTTTTAACCTAGCGGCTGGGCCGGGGGCGAAGCCATGGAGCAGTTGCTCAGGTCAGTGATTTAAAAGCCATGCCCAAGTGCATAGGCAAGGCACATTAGCTACCTGAAGCAATGCAATTGGGAGAGAAATAAACAACTTGAAACTTTTATATGCTTGAATATGTTTTATATGCGATGTTTATGTATTATAATTTTTTTTGAAGATAAAAACATATGTACTATAATTTTCTATGCATTATAATTTGAGTCAATAGGCTTTTTAAAACATTTAGATTCTTTTAAAATTCAGGTTTAAAGTTTTCTGAATTAATATTATTTTTAATTTTAGTTTGGCTTATTTTGAATATTTTAAAAATTTTGCGCCTTCCTTGTGTCTTGTGCCTCAGTTGCAAACTTGCAAAATGTCCCATGTGCTTTTCTTGCGCCATGCACTTTTAGAACACTGGCTCAGGTTATGTATGGCTGCTCAAGGCCTGAATCAAAATGGAACCTGAGTTTCATTGGGCATGTAATTTAACCCATTTTAACCTTGTTAACAATGCTATATATCAGTTGGCTTTGTTGATACTGCCATACTGGTCTGAGTTGCCTTCCTGTTTCTTTTGATCAATAACATCAAACTTTGTTAGTGTAAAGGAGTTATCCCTTTTCTGAAAGGGAGTGGAAATATAGTGCAACCAACAAAGATAGAAAGATTCAACATTACTGGGATTACTGTCCTGCAGCATATTGAGAATAACTTTGAAGATCAAGTACACTGGGGTGTCTTAGCATGTAGTAGGACTGTAGGAGATGTTCAACCAAAAAGTGAAGATGCCAGTTTAACTGCAGTGTGACATGGTTTGACTCAAACTGAACCTGCTGACTCAACCTAATTTAGACATTTCTCTTTTCATGCATTTGATTTGTTAAACACAATAAACTAGCATAGGATCAGTAAAATATATAGAAGTCTATATAACTGTATAACATTAGAGACTGGCTCAGATGAAGGGGTCTTGCACTGAGTGGAGGAGGTTGCGTTTGAATCTTGGTTTAGGTTGCTATGATAGCCATCTTAGGCCCAGTTTGGTAGTGCTTTTTGGTCTAGACAGGCTTCTGAAAATGCCACATTTTGAAATGGGCTTTTTGAAAAAACACCTTTTTAGTGTTTTTCTGGTCACCAGACTCACCACAGTGTTTTAAAAGCGCTAAGCGCAGAAAAGGTGCAGGGGCCAATTTGCGCCCAAGGCGCAGGGCAAGGTGCATGAAGCACGGTAAAATAAAAAATGTCAGAAAATTAAAAAAAAGCCAAAAAGGCAAAAAAAATAAAAAATAAACATAATATTAATAAAAATATAAACTAAAATTTAAAATAAATTTTTTAAAAAACATATTATCTAAAATTAAAATACATAAACATAACATGTAAAGCGTATTCAAATGAAAATTTAAAAATAAAATCAAACATATAAAACATTTTCAAGCATGTAAAACCCACAATATCTTTTTTTCCTCAATTGCATTACTTAAAGTAGCTAATGTGATGTAAAACATATTACATTCCTGATTCTACGAGCCCCCTTTGTGCCACGCCCCTCGAGCCAAGCCCAAACAAGTTCATGTTAGGGTCTTAAATTCTTAATTTTCACAAAAAAATAATGATTTTATAATTTTAATTGCCTTTTAAGAAGATATTTTATTAGGATGAATGAATGAACAACATTAGCAAATAGGGGCTTCAAAAAAAGCAAAAAAACATAAAATTTTCAAAAGGCGCACACCTAGGCTAAGGTGCATTAGGCATGCGCCTTTTGAAAGTGCTACGCCTAGGACTTGGGCAAGGCACCTACCCTAAAATGCGCTTTGCCTGTGCGCCTTTTAAATCACTGGGTCACCAGAATCTTTGTTCAAAATAACTTCTTGCATACTTGAAAACCCTTTTTTGGGTAATTGCGAACTTGAAAATCTAGATGGAGTTATTTTCCCTTCCTTTACAAATGAGCTTTTTTTATGAAAAAAAATGTTTTGGACTTTTTCACCAAACAATTTTTTGACTTTCTTTTGGCTTCCCCAGTGTGAAAAGCACAAAAAAGTCCATTCGAGAAGCGCCCCCAAATGGGGCCTTAGCTCAAACAGAAATTTACAACAAATGGATTCAGTTATTATAACCCGCTTAAATTTTTTATCAGGGTGAATTGGGGATGTGCTTGGCTTCTTCTCTCTCAATCCTACCTGGACCAAGGTGCACCCTGTTATTTGAAAAGCCACCAATGTCACATTTAAGGAGGAAGAGGGGCATTGACTTGCAATTGTATGATTCACTTCTTTTTGTCTTTAAGTCTTGTACATCCTCTCATGTACACCCCTCCTCTTTTTTCTTTTTGTGATTAATATAAAGTTGTCTTTCTTAAAAAAAACTGTATGATTCCCTTCTATCAAGCTTCCGAAAGACTACAATTTGAAGCAATAAGACCTTGTAAGCAGGCTGGGACTTAGGTTCTTACAGAATCTTGAGTTTTAGTCATGTGGTTTTTGTTGAACTGGATCATTCTCTTATGTCCAAATGTTTCAGGTACTGTGATGCAATGTAATACTGAAGTTTAATAGATACAGAAAATTCCTGTGTTGCTATAATACTCAGGCCCTGAATTGGTTTTTAGTCCAAAAGACTGATCCTTGGAGTGTGAACTATAGCCTGTTTTTGCATTTGAAAAATTGATATCTGGTATAATCCTTTCTTTAGGCATGGAAAAGTATATTTCTTTCTTTGCAATTAAACGATAGATTCTTTTTTTTTTCCAAAAAAAATGTAGTAGTCCATTGTGCTTCACATCATATTCATTTGATTAGATGAGAAACTGGTGTTTGATCTCCAACTTGCACAGACTCTTGCAAGTTCTATTGAATTCCTTAAGATTTTTACCTTCTATTTTTCAATGGATGACAACTAATTTTTACAAGGCTGTTCATTCCTTGTTGACAGATGACTACAGCTATTGCCATTGAGGATGTTAGAAGGGAGGTGAAAATTTTGAGAGCTTTGACAGGACATAACAATCTAGTGCAGTTCTATGATGCATATGAAGATCATGATAATGTCTATATAGTAATGGAGTAAGCTTGGAACACATTACATTTTCTGAAATTACATTTCATGACTATGAGTTTGATGATATTTCTTTTTTTTTGATTGCTTCTTGATGGGGTTAATGTTTTAAAAAATGTCTGAGATTTAAAATGCAGAGCACATTGCTCACGGTTCACACCTTGAGATGTCATTAGTATGTGTTTGTTTTGCATGGTGCTTGTGTTGTATCTAGTGTTGCATGGACGTGGACATGAGAATTGGAAATAAACATTAGAAAAATGCAAATACTAGAGTGCCATCTTGGACAATCTAAATCAATGTTTTCAACCTGTCGTTTGACCCGGATGGTTGAACCATCCAAACCATCACTTATCACTTGTCAAAAACTGTTGACTTGGTCAGCGACCAACCAACTTAGGCAGTTGAACCATTGACCCATTTGACCTAGTCACGAGTTATACACTAAAATGTATTGAAACCTCCAGAATCCAGAGGCAATAACATTGCACTCGGTTATCAGATAGGGGTGATCTTTTTCTTTGATTTTGGGTGGCTTTTCGAGATCTATGTGCTCCCAAGGCGATCGAAAACCCCTTATTTGCTATGTATCTGAGCCTGATACATATTTTGGAGAGTTAGACATGATTTGATTCATGAACACGTGTTAGGGGTGCTCACGGTTAACTGAACTGTGGGGTATTTTTTTGAAACTGAACTGGTACTACTGGCTTTTGAAAATCCCTGAATTGAAACCAAACCAAATCACACGGTTAACTAACCATGGGGTATTTTTTGAAACTGAACCACTACTACTGGCTTTTGAAAATCCCCGAATTGAAACCAAACCAAATCAACCAGTTACCCAGTTGACTAGTTTTGGTTTTTGATTGGTTTGGTTTTTCGGTTTTTATATTGATAATATATATTATAAATAAATATATAGATGTACATATATATTATAAAATATAAATATAAAATATTTATATATAATGCATATATATTTATATATAATATTCTGGATAATATATGATTTATATAATATAAATATATATACCGGTTGGTTGGGTTAACTCTTGGGTTTTTAGGTTAACTGAAAACTGAACCAGTCCTTCGGTTTTTTCAAAAATACTGAACCAAACCAAACTGATCGGTTTGGTTAACTGGATTTTTCGGTTTTTTATGAGCACTCCTACTTGCAAGCCCCCTAAAAGGTTCCCATGCTTTAACCTAGGCCCTAGCACTTAATATAGGGGGCTTAATCTAGGCTGGGCTGGTCCTAGGTGTCCATGCACCAAGTAACAAGTACACTATATATCATATTATATGCATATATAAAATTACAAACAAAATTCTGGGCCAGGCTAGGAATGATCACTCTAATTTCAAGCCATTTTGAGGTATTATTTAACATTTAGAACTTCTTAGCAGTTATTAAATGTTTTTGTAAGAATTCAATCTCTAAAGCTCTTTATATTCTCAGCATCTTTAATGTGATAATTTATTCATTTATATGCTTTTCTCAGATAAAATTATATGGCTTATATGCATATTTCTATAATTTTGTTATGTTAATCTGCTGCTTTTCTTAAAATTGTTAAATCATGAGTATTATGCCTTACACATCTAAAAGTTCTGGTGCCTTGCCTTACATCTCTGTGATTTTAAAGATTGGTTGGAGTTAATTTGAAAAAGTTAAAGAAGATATTAGGGGGGGAGATGACACCAAAAAGAAAAACAATGACAAAATGGCTGCTACTTTAGTTATTTTAATGTCTGTTGTTATACATCAATGTCCAATGTAGGTGATACATAATGAAGTTGGACTGGGCAGCAGTAAGATCGAAATTGGGCGGAGACTTGGGATCAAATCCCTCTTGCACCTGGGTTCGGGGGGTTATGGGTTAGGGGATGGGTGTTATGGGCCCACGAATAGGATCTCGTCACAGGTTAGTTAACGGGGAAAACCTCTTGTTTTCCCTTATTTCTCCCTTTCCTCGAGGTACCTATCTTTGGCGCCTTAATGGTGATTTGTTAAAGAGATCACCAACTCTCCTCTGCTCTTTTCTTGACTGAAAATTTCGATGATTTCATTGAATAACATCTGCTCCTTTAAATAGGAGATTACAAGAAGATAAGAGTCATTTAGGAAGACATTCTAACAACATTTATCTCTAAATGATAATGCTATTGCCTAATTAATAGGAACACTGAATTTAGCCTAGAGATAAGATAGGAACATTAAATCTAGCTAAGAGATAAGATAGGAACACTGAATTTGGCTAAGAGATAAGATAGGAACACTGAGTTAATTGCCCATTATTGCTGCTGTCCATTATTGCTGTTGTTTGTGGCTGTAAAAGCATCCACAACATTACTCCCCTCCTGGACTAAGAGCTTGTCCTCAAGCTCGAATTCAGGATAGGTGTCTTGAAACACAGTCAAAGGAATCCAGGATAGGTGGAATGATTTTGCCCTCCTGGATCGGGTTCCAATGAAGAGGATTCATCCTCATCTTCCTCTTGTTCCACCCGGAGGCAGAAAAGTCTCTTGCACTTGTGCCCTACTAAGTAAAGTTCATCACAATTAAAACACTGTCCCCTCGCCCTGCATTCCGCCATCTCAGCCCTGGACAAGCGCTTAATAGGGGGTGCAACAACGTTGCTTCCCACACTGGATGCTGATCTAGAATTGTTGCTCGTCTGTGGTTTCTGTTCTTGGCTAGCTGCTGAAGATGGAGCCATTCTGAGTGGTTTCGGGGCTGCCCATGTTGTTTGAGGCCGCCCTATATTGATACTTCCACGGTTGAGTTGCAATTTGCATTCAAAAGCGCGAGCCAAATTCATATCAGTAACCAGATTGGGGGGATTTTGCATCTCCACATCCACCCTCAAAGTTTCCGCTAACCCCGTGGTGAACATGTCAACTTGTTGGTCTGGTCGTACCGAAGATGCTCTTGTAAGGAGGGTCTGAAACTGGCGCTGATACTTAGCCATAGTTCCAGTCTGTTTGAGGTTGGCTGGACCTGCATTCTTTTTAAACTTATTTCCATTCTAGGATTTGTTGGTACCCTCAGTGTTGTGTTAGATTTAGTATATGGTAACAACATATATGGTGCCAGCACATGGTATTTTCTTTATATTGTGCTTGTCTTACAAGTGCATACCATTGCCAACAACTAGAATATGTGCATGTTTAAAGCTACAATTACATACTTCTGCATTCCAGTTTTATGAACAGCTATTCTTGTCACTCTTTGGTCTGAAATGGGAATGGTAAAATTTGTTCTATTGGAGTTACATGGACACTGGCCTGTTTGTTTCTTTGTAATTAATGTTTATTTCTGTATCAGTCATGGAGATAATCCATTTTCTTCTTTTTTGTCTGGATTTAGAAACATCATCTGGAGCTGATTATTGCATGTTTTTATAAAAGTTTTGAGTTTTGATACTTTATTTGATAAATTGTTTATGTATTTATGTATTTTTCAGGTTATGTGAAGGAGGAGAGCTTTTAGATAGAATACTTTCTAGGTATTTCTTTTTTCAGTAGCTAAACTGAAATCATAATACTATTTGTCACGCTTTAGCGCATTAATTTAGAGAATTGGCTCCACAAAGTTGCTGGGTGTTTTAGCTTATGATGAATTAATCTTTTTCTTTTCCTTTTTCTTTTAGGGGTGGAAAGTACTCAGAAGATGATGCAAAAGCTGTCATGGTGCAGATATTAAATGTTGTTGCATTTTGTCATCTCCAGGGTGTTGTACACCGTGACCTTAAACCAGAGGTATTTCATATTCCATGATTACTTTCATAATTAGTACTGGTTTCCTCTTGGGTAGGCCACATTTTCTGAGAATTACATAGTTGGTCAGTGGCTTATAGTTCAATGGTTGCTTTCTAGGAGATCTCCTGGACACAAGAATGACCTTAATATTTAATAGATCTCGGAATCAGATTTTTAGGTTTCCTCCTTTTTATGTTTCTAATGCTTTTTCTCTCATTCTTTCTGATATGGTTCAGCAGAGGAATTTTAACTGGCATGATGGTCACCCTTTATATTTGTTGTGTCATTTTTTTGATAAGTAAAGAAGAAATTTTATTAAAGAGAATCAAGCATGAATTACAGTAAGCTTCCCTCAAAGAGGCACGAGATGCAGCCTCAAAATTACAGTTTAGCCCAGAAAAGTCTATCCCTAACCTTGTTTAGCTAGACAATCAGCTAGCTCATTTGCCGATCTTCTTTCCCATTGTATCCTCATTGTCATTGTTAGAAGTGATCCATTTAAACCTCTTCACCTTGTTAGTGTTGACTGTATAGGGGGTATTTTAGTCTTTATATTTATGTTTAAATCTGATGTGTAATGTTTATGTCAAGTGATGTGTCCCATACTTAAGTAGGGACGTACTAGTCTTTTGTTATTATGGATAGAAACATATAAATTTAATCTGGCTGACTAGAGAATTATGTTCTCTAGTTTGAACCAGAATTTTCTTCTTCTCTCTTCTCTTCTTCTTCTACTTCTTCTAGTCTCTCTAATACTTCTTGAACTCTATTTCTAACAGAATTCTAGTGCAGATCAGGTTTATAATATGGTATCAGAGCTACTGTGAAAAAATCGAATCTGCCCAGAATTCTGTTTTTCTCGCATTTAGCTAGTTTTTCTTTTTTTTTTTTTTTAATTTTTTCATCATCATCTGTTGAAGATAGGGAAAGGGGCTGAAAAGGAGTGATCGCCCTTTCCCTTTGGAGGTTTCTATGCCTCCGGTCAGTAGGTTTGTGGGTGTTTTCAGTGATTTTTAGGAAGCCCCCCCTAATCGATGGTGAGAAAAGGGCTGTTTCGGGTGATGCAATGGACTGTTGAGTGCAGGTTGATTTTTTGGTGATTAGATAGGTGGGTTTTGTGGAGTTTTCAGTGTGGATCGAATGGTTGATGAGTTGCAAGCAGTGTGGTGAGAATTCAGGTAGTCGTGTGTAGTAGGGTTGTGGTGTGGAGAGTGAAGAATTCAGTGACGAGTGGTGCCGAGTGCAGTGTGTAGTGTGGTGAGAAGTGAATTAAGAATTTTTTTTTTTTTTCAGATATGAGAGATAATAGTGAAAACAAAACTAGTGTGATGGTTCCCTCTGATTACCTGAATGTTTAGATGACTTCTATCAAATTGAATGGGGAGAACTATGTGCCTTGGGCGAAATTTGTAGAGGTCTTTCTTAAAGCTAAGAAGAAAGTGAAGCATATAAGGGCAGAAAAACCCTCTAATGAGTATGGTGATTAGGAACAAGAGGATGCATAGATTATGACCTGGTTATGGAATAGTATAGAACCCAAGATCAATGTGAATTTCATGTTCATTGATACAGTCAAGGAGGTTTGGGACCACGCCAAGAAGCTGTATTTGGGACAAGACAACACAACTAGAGTGTATCAACTTTATTAGGAGTACTATGCTAGCATGAAGAACTTTTGCAATGAGTTGAATGTGTACCAAATTTTTGGTAGGATTGATGTTAAAATTCAGCAACAACAGAGAGAACAAGATGTGACCAAATTTTTGGTAGGACTGAAACCTGAATATGAACCAGTGAGAGCACAAATTCTAGGAGGTTCAGCTCTTTCGTCTTTAGAAGAGGTGTTTGCTCGTATTCGAAGGATCTCTATTGGGCCTATAGAGAATTCTAATATCTCAAACAAGTCGGCCTTTGTAATGTCAAGAGGGGGAGGCCGTAGTGGTAGCAGTGGTGGTGTATGGTCGTAGTGGTGGTGGTGGACCTATGTATAGTCGTGGTCGTGAACGTATTGGAGGTTGAGATTCAGGGGGAGTTCATGGTAGAGGACGTAGTTTTGGTCCAAGAAAGTGTACACATTGTGGTATGGAAGGACATACCATCAATTATTGTTATGATTTGCATGGCCCACCTTCAACTTGGGCAAATCATGCAGTGGCCAGTGATAGTAGTCCCAGACAGGAGGGTCATCAAGCTGATAAGATGCCTTCTATATCTACAGATGTTCTCGGGAAGGAGATGATGAGTGTTCTACGTGATGAGTCTGAGAGGTTTGTTCAGGCTACATCTCAGTAGAATACCACTCTTGCACACTCAGGTATGGTTTGTTTGGCATCCAAAGCCAACCCTTGGATTATTGACTTTAGAGCTTCCGATCACATGACTGGAACTCCAAGTGTGTTTTCCTCCCTTTCTCAGTGCCCCACATCACATTTTGTTACCCTTGCTAATGGTTCCACATCTTCCATTTGTGGTGTTAGTAATGTAAAGATAGACCCTTTATCTTTATCCTCAGTTTTGTATGTTCCCAAATTTCCTTTTAATCTTATGTCTGTTAGTAAGTTGACCAAGTCCCTTAATTGCTCTATTACTTTTTACCCTTCTTGTGTTATTAAGGATCTCAAGATGGGGATGAAGATTAGTAGAGGGCATGAAGTTGGTGGACGGTATTATCTTGATGGTGGTGGTAGTGCATTGACAACTCTTCAAACATCCCTTTTTCCTCTTCAGTGGCACTATAGATTTGGTCATCCATCACTTAAAGTATTGAAGTTTCTTGTTCCGTCGTTGAGTCACCTTTCTGTTTTGGATAGTGAGTCATGTCGGTTAGGGAAACATTAGCATGTTCCCTTTAGTCCTGGGGTTGATAATTGTATGCCAAGTCCTTTTTCTTTAGTTCATTTAGATGTTTAGGGTCCAAATAAAATAATGTCATACAATGGTTATAAATACTTTGTTATTTTTGTTGATGATTGATTATTCAAGGATGACGTGGCTTTACCTAATGAAAGAAAGGAGTGAATTGTTTTCCATTTTCCAAAAATTTTATGCTGAAATTCACAACCAATTTGGTGTACACATTAAGATTCTTCGTTCTGATAATGGTCGTGAATACTTTTATACACTGTTTCAGGAGTATTTGGAACAACATGGCATTATCCATCAGACTTCATGTACTTACACCCCACAACAAAATGGGGTAGTTGAGAGAGAACCGTCACTTTTTGGAAATTGCTCGATCCCTTATGCACCATATGATACCCAAACATTTTTTGAGTGATGTTGTGCTTACATCTTGCTTCCTGATTAACTGGATATGGATGCCCACACCCATCCTTGAAGGTCATTCTCCCTTCACCACTTTGTTTCCTACCTTGTCTCCGTTTCCCCTTACTCCTCGGGTTTTCGGGTGTGTTTGTTTTGTTCACAACCTTGGACCGGGAATGGACAAGTTAGATGCACGATCCACTAAGTGTATCTTCCTTGGCTATTCCCGGACCCAGAAATGGTACAAGTGTTATAACCCTAGTTCTCGATGTTCCTTTGTGTGTGTTGATGTTACTTTCTTTGAGTCCACTCCCTTTTTTCTCGGGGTCAGGTGATGTTTCTTCTTCTTCACCACCTCCTCCTCTTCCAGTCCTAGTCGAGGACCCCATTCCACTTGTTCTGGTTGTGACCAAGTCTTTGCCTCCTGTGCAACTTCCTGTTGAACGACCACCCATTCGTCAAGTGTATACACATTAACAACATGTATCAGCTCCTCCTCCAGCTTCATCACTGTTGACAGATCTGGCAATTGTTCCCACACCAGCTACAACCCCAGTTTCTGGCCTTGATCTTTCGATTGCCCTACAGAAAGGTAAATGCAGTTGCACACATCATCCCAATTTTAATTATGTTTTTGTTACTCATCTTTCTACTTCCCATCGCTAGTTTATTTCCTTATTGTCTTCTATTACTATTTCTACGGATGTTCAATAAGCCCTTGCCTTTCTAGGGTGGCGCCATGCGATGGAAGAACTCTCCGCCTTAACTCGTAATCATATGTGGGATCTCATCACGCTTCCTCTTTGTAAGTAGGCTGTCGGTTGTAAGTGGGTTTACACTGTTAAGCATTTACCTGATGGTAGTGTAGAGTAGTTAAAAGCTAGATTGGTTGCCAAAGGGTATTCCGAAACATATGGTATTGAATACACTGAGTCCTCTCCCGTTGCTAAAATTGGTTCAGTTTGTGTTGTGATATCTCTATCTGCTATGTATGATTGGCCTCTCTTTCAGCTTAATATCAAGAATGCTTTCTTACATGGTGATCTACTTGAGGAAGTCTATATGGAGCAACCACTGGGGTTTGTTGCTCAAGGGGAGGATGGTAAGGTGTGCAGACTAAAGAATGCCATTTATGGACTTAAACAATCCCCTTGTGCATGGTTTGGTAAATTCAGTGAAGTAGTAAAGAAGTTTGGTATGAAATAGTGTTAGGTTGACCACTCAGTTTTTAGTCATGATTCGCATGCTGGAAAGATCTTATTGGTGGTATATGTACATGATATTGTCATTACCAGCAGTGATAGATTGGGAATTGATAGGTTGAAGACCTTTCTGCAGGAACACTTTTAGACAAATGACCTTGGTAAATTAAAATACTTCTTGGGGATGGAAGTAGCAAGGTCTAAGCATGGCGTTAATTTGTGTCAGAGGAAATATGTTCTTGATTTGTTGGAAGAAACAGTATAATTAGATGCCAAACTAGCTGAAACATCTATGGAATCAAATACCAAGCTGATATATGGGTGAAGAGTTTGAAGATCTTGGAAGGTACAAGCGGTTGGTGGGTAAACTAAACTACCTAACCATTACCCGACTAGATATTTCATTTGTAGTTAGTGTGGTGAGTCAGTTTATGCAGAAACCTCGGGTTCCACATTGGGATGTAGTTCCAAGGATTGTAAGGTATTTGAAGGGAGCCTCTGGTCGTGGCTTGATATATAAGAGTGGAGGAAATC